TCTTATCTCGGTAACGGAAAAGACCTGAGCAGAGATATTTTCGAATTAGTCATGTCCTTATGCTAATAAGTAACTTGCAAAAAAGATTTTTCTTCAACTCGTCTGCAAAACAACTCCAGCCAAATCTATTTCGACTCCATATGTATCCTTTTTTTCCAGTGAAAATAGCTGCAAAGTCTCAAGAATACCGAGAAAAATTTTTACCCTGATCATAATTACCCGAGGCTACGCTCCGTATATATTGGAAAAATAGAGTATTGTCTAATCTGCCTGAAAAAAAGAATATTGAACTATTAGTAATATAATCAATAGAAAATGTATATTATGTTTCTGCTATACTCTACTTATTTTACTTAACTAATTTGTACTATAAAGTCGGTATTATTTGATCTAACTAAATTGATTCCATATTCTTAATCAACTTTTATTATTAAATAAAAATCTATTGCAAAAAATAAGATTAAGAAATATACACATTTATTCATAACTAAATCTAACTATCTTAAGAATTATTAGACTGTTTTTCGTGAAAAAAATAAAACAGTCTAATAATTCTAAGATAAAAAACAAAAATTACGCAAAGTTTCAGTTTAGTTATGAATAAATAGATTTAGCCTCGATTCATCCCTAATGTGTAGATTTCTAAATCTTATATTTTTTGCTACAGATTTTGTAATTAACGTGTTCTCTAAGTTCGGTTGTAACAAACTCACTGACTACGAAAAGTTCGCTATTTTTCATGTGTTTGTGTGAGAACGTCTTCTGATAAATACAAACATTTTCTTTTCCATGTTCGTTAATAGGGAAAATGAGTCTCTAATTAGAACAGTACGACTTTCGCTTCTGTTCATGGTTATAAATCAATAATTTACGGAGATGGTACACTTTCGGCCAACTATCGTCCTATAAGTTTCCTGCGTGCAATGTCCAAAATCCTTGTAAAACCTGTTTTACATAAATTTTATTAACACGTAAAAAGAACGAAGTATTCGTATTATATCAATTCGGCTTTATACAAGACGATTCAACAGTAAATTATCTTGCGAATCTTATTTACGAAATAAGCGAAACCTTAGATTATGACAATTTTACAAAGTAAAGAAGAAGAATGTGTCAGATGAACTATGGAAATAGTTCTCGAGCTACTTTAGTAATTGTCAATGTGTCACGACGGTCAATGGACAACTACCCACACAATTACCAATGAATAGAAGAGTACTCCAAGGGTTCATTATTGGACCGTTTCCATTCGTCCTGTTCATTGATATTTCATCATAGACACAGTCAGAAATAAGATTTTGCTATGATAGATACGTCCATCAATCACAGCGGAAATGATATCTTGAGCATTTATAATATAATAAAAAACTGATCTTAAAAATATAAATGACTAATCGCTGTTTTTTAGTTGAATACAAAAAAATGTGTTATAATAATCTTTAGTAAAGTGTAGAATATTCCATGTAAGTTTCGTGATTATTCTCTTCTTCGATTTTTTGATCAACACAAATATCTTGGATTATATATCGTAAAAACACTTGACAGGTCTGCTCGTATAAATTATGTTTCTAAAAAGATGAAATTCAATACTTTACTTTATGCGTAGATACAAATATATACTGAGTACTTCTATATTAACTAAAATATTGTTATTATTATTATATACATAACATAACACATATAACACATTTTGTCCACAAGTATTTAATATTAGAACGGAATTTCAATCCGATCAATTTGGTTGTTCTAGAAAATTGTTTAGTTTGCGCATTACTTCATTTGTTGTAATTTATGTACGTACACCTAATACATGAGTACAATCTTTATTCTATTGTTTCTTGGTGGGGAAGTAGGCAGTCTAACTATAAAAACATTCCCTTTTTAGTTCATTAGCTTCTTTTTAAACAATGGAGACCTTTTGCATTCCGCTCTTGTTTTTTTCTGCAGCTATTTTGTTTAGCGATATAAGCTTATAATTAACGATATATTCCTGCTAAAAAACTTGTGTTTGAACTACTAGCCATTCAATTGTAGCCATTCACACCATATCATAGTTGTTATGCCACGTACTAGGGTCGTGCCATAAGAGAGAAGATCATATTCAAGGTTATCGCGCAATATTTCTTATATAAATAGATTAATTTTATTGTTAGGAGATCTTTTTTATTTGTAAATAAACGTTAGATGAGAAAGATCTTAGTTCACTCGTGAACCTAACATTGGTGCACTAGCCGGGTTACTGTCAATCCAACATCACAGTAAGGACAAGCAATCAACATCACAGTAGGTATAATCGAACGCAAACAAATCAAAATGAGACAACGTTACTGTCAACAAAAATTCAAACAACAGTTCAACACACAAACACGTTATACAGATGATCAGTGGCAGCCCCTCTGGCTTTGGAAGCGACACAACACTGAACAGCAACACAATCTTAACTCCTTTACAGGCGTTTGGGGTGGACAATTTCACATTCATCAAATAGTGATGATTTATGATCAAAAATGTACAATCGTTCCCGGGCTCGACCTTTTACAAGCAACAATATTAGAAATACAATATAGTCACGAACCACAACGTTGTTTGGTGAAATTAGAATATGATCAAACTGAGTTATATGCTGAATCTAGTGCCATATTTCAAATGCCATTTCAAGGTTTAGAAGATGATGATATGGATCATGATAAACCAGCATGTTTGAAACGTATAAAGTCAATGAAAAGTAATCCATCATTCATTATGAACAACAACAAATTAACAGCACTGTCGGAATATTTAGATGATCAACAATCAGAAGATGGATCAGAATCGTATTGTGATACCGATTTAGATGAATTATGTGTTGATCCATTTGATAGTTGATATACTTCTAGTGAAGCAGGTGAAGAAGATGAAGAAGAAGGATTCTCAAAAACAAATTCCAAATCCATAACATTAGTGATAACGCCAGCAACAGTGAGAAAACACTATCAACACGTGCGTGATTTTGGCTGTTATCTTCAAAATAAATCACAGCGATTTATAGAAAGTGTCACGAAACGAATATAATCTAACACGGAAAAAAGATTAAAAAATAAAAATTCATCATTTGAAGAACAACTCCTAGTTTTTGACAGGGAAGAAATTATGTGGCCTGAAGATGGTGAGGTATGGTTTTAACATGAAATAAAACAACACCGTCAACAATTTATTCGATCAAAACCATCTCATTCACATGATTCCGCAAAGCATAGACAAATGATAACAGCTGGTAGTGAACTACACGAAATAACACAATTAACAATAAATAACCATAACCATACGCAAAATCAACGCGAAATGGAACATAAATTATTGAAACCATAAGTACAAAAGCGCAAACAACGACAACGACATTCATGGCTCCAAAAACCAACACAAAAAGCTGTTGAACAACAGTCAACAAAACAATCTTCAGTTTTAGGTACTGCAAACGACATTTCATCTGATCCGATTGCACAGAAGCCTCGAATGTCCTCCAAACAAACAACGTATTTATTCACTGGGCCAAATTTAAAATCTTCACTGGGTGGTAGTTGGATACTAAATACTCGGGTTTTATTGTCATTGTTGCTATTGTCCATATTAGGTGGTCGATTGTTACGGAGTCCCACACAATCGATAGCTGGTGATTCTGAACATCTTGTTCATTTAATTTTGGTCGTTATTCGCGTGGCAATTAAGTTTAGACATGCAAAACAAGATGATGGTTTTTTCGGTTCTAGCAATATTAAAGATACATTTGGACATTGGGATTGGCTATGGCCGTATATGGTGCCATAAACAAAAACAACACTGTTATTTCAACTGCTTACGGGCTGACGATTATCCACATAATTATGTATTTAATTGTTAGAAAAGTGTTGAAACTATTTTAGCCGGTAAATAGTGGTATTGGTCTAATGAATCATGCTGGTGGCAGTTTCATGAATGATTGATCAAACTCCAATATTAAAATGCAAACAAGTGGAAAACAACCATCATGGTGGCAAATCCTGGATTTCAGTTTGCCGAAATGAACGTGCTCAAATCGAAATCTTTGCTCAATGCTAATGGTACTGACAGTACTGGAACATTGAACATAAAAGGACCTTCAAGAGGCATTTAATTTTCGATGAACGTGGAAGTTCACCTTGTTGCATAGGGGGAAGTGTTATGTCACGTACTAGAGTTGTGCCATAAGAGAGAAGATTACATTACGATTCAAGACGCAATATTTCAAAAAGGGAAAGCGAAAGAGAAATTGTAATTTCTTTTGCTGCTATGCTACATGCACTACCGACATTTGTCGTCGAGCATTTCAAATTATTCTTAAATCAGAGCCAATTAAGAGTACATCGGCGTTGTTTCTCGTTCGAGCCATCGGTGATGAAAATCATAACGGCGACATCGAAGTAGCAGCACGTCAACTTCGTGCAAAGAGCGTTTTCTTGTTGGTTTGTACTCTCAATCTTTACGTCTACGTTTCGAACTTACCCGATCTGTTATTTTAGGACAACGTGTGAATGATGTCGATCCCACCCGAGTTTTTCGGAAGCGTGTCAAGGCTGCTAGTGAGAGGTTGCTCGCTGCGGGCAATTTCACTCGGTGTGAAACAATCGAAACGTATAAGAAAGCTGCAGCTGACTATCGTGAAAAAATGAAACTAGATGAAGACATCTTCAAAGAATGTCGAATTTATGCTCGAATTTTTCGTAAGTCGCATAAGACAACGACAAAACTGCCAGGTAAGTCTAAGAAAAACTTGTTGTTCTCATTTTTTCCTATTTCAATTAAAAGGCTATGTCCAAATGAGTGGTGAGGTACCGTTCCGTCTTCATCTCTTCTCAGAGCTACAAATCGAGCGATATATCAAGTATTGTACTAAAACAAAATACTCTCTCTTACACATAGATGCTACTGGCAGTGTGCTGACAAAAATGACAGAGCAAAAGAGATCTTATATTTCACCATCATCATCATCATCAGTCGACTGCAAACAACTTTGGCTTACAGGCGTCAACAATCTTGATCCAGTTTTCTCTGTTGTCTGCAGCTGCTCGTAACTCGTCGACCGATGGCGGCGTGTCACTGTTTATTAGCGTGCCGATATATGCCGGATATAATAGCTGTGGTTTGCCTCGTTTTCGTTTGCCGTGACTTTCTTTGGGCGAATAGAGGACGTACTTGTTAATCAGCTCGTATTTTTCTCTTCGCAGACAATGGCCAACGTATCTGAGTTGCCGCCGTTGGATCTGTAAAACTAGGGGAT